CATAACCCTTAGAGTAAAGTGTACTTAACCCTTAGAGTAAAATGTATATAACCCTTAGAGTAAAGTGTACATAACCCTTAGAGTAAAATGTATATAACCCTTCGAGTAAAATTAACATAACCCTTAGAGTAAAGTGTATATAACCCTTAGATAAAATTAACATAACCCTTAGAGTAAAGTGTACATAACCCTTAGAGTAAAATGTATATAACCCTTAGAGTAAAGTGTACATAACCCTTAGAGTAAAATGTATATAACCCTTAGAGTAAAGTGTACATAACCCTTAGAGTAAAATGTACATAACCCATAGAGTAAAATGTATATAACCCTTAGAGTAAAATGTAAATAACCCTTAGAGTAAAGTGTATATAACCCTTAGAGTAAAATGTATAAAACCCTTAGAGATAACCCTTAGAGTAAAATGTACATAACCCTTAGAGTAAAGTGTACATAACCCTTAGAGATAACCCTTAGAGTAAAATGTACATAACCCTTAGAGTTAAGTGTACATAACCCTTAGAGATAACCCTTAGAGTAAAATGTACATAACCCATAGAGTAAAATGTATATAACCCTTAGAGTAAAATGTACATAACCCTTAGAGTAAAATGTACATAACCCTTAGAGTAAAATGTACATAACCCTTAGAGATAACCCTTAGAGTAAAATTATCATAACCCTTAGAGTAAAGTGTACATAAACCATTCAAGCGTACATAACCCTTTGAGTGTACATAACCCTTTGAGCATACATAACCCTTTGAGTGTACATAACCCTTTGAGCGTACATAACCCTGTGAGTGTACATAACCCTTTGAGTGTACATAAACTCTTTGATCATACATCACTTTTTTGCTGTACATTTGAATACATCATTATTCTCCATTTACATCATGTTTTTCTCTGTAAATAGCCATATTTCTGTGTAAATAGCCACATTTAATAGCCATATTTCTGTGTAAATAGCCATATTTCTGTGTAAATAGCCATATTTCTGTATAAATAGCCACATTTCTTTGTAAATAGCCATATTTCTTTGTAAATAGCCATATTTCTTTGTAAATAGCCACATTTCTGTGTAAATAACCAGTTTTCTGTGTAAATAGACACTTTTCTGTGTAAATAACTACTTTTCTGTGTAAATAGACACTTTTCTGTGTACACAATGTTTTTCTATGAACATAATCACTTTCCTGAGTATGTCATGTTTTTCTGTGTACATGACCTCTTTTCTATGAACCTATCCTTTTTCTGTCCACAACTGTATACATAATAACCTCTTTCCTGATACTACAGCTCTCTATGAACTAACCCTTTTTCTGCATACGAAACACCCTCCGGGAACATAAATAATCTATTTACATATTACATTTACAAGTAAACCTATTTCTTAGCGTATGAGATTTGTCTTTAAACATCTATACACCTTTCTGTGAACATTACAACTTTACATACAAACTTATTTCTGTACACAATATGCCATTATATTTCCTGAATAATTGTACCCTAGACTCTCATTAACATCTTTCTGTACACAAAGTACTTTTCTTGTTACATGAATAATACATTTATAAGTTCATTAAATTTTCCTCTGCATAGACCTAACACATTTGTCTTTTGATTGAAAAAGAAGAAAGGCTTTTTAAGGACATGTTTTTGTGATAAGAAAGAATGGCCAATGACTTTGTTATATTCCATTGTATTATGAATTTGTATGTAACATTAAAACAATATGATATTACATTATTTGTTTTCACTACCAGTAATCTACATGTATATTATATTTTTAATGGAATGCTATCCCATTTTTTCTAGGGTTACTTTAAATGAGAATGTTAATTTGAAAAACTTGACACCATTTAGAAAATTTACTTGAAAATGTCTTCCTATGTGACTGCAGTGTGGACTAGGATGGCGGAAGAACCTGTACATAATTACCTTCCATTTTTGCCTATCTTTCACACTGGAAATACTCATATCCTGAGGTAAGGATTAAGAATAAACAGTCTGATTCTAAATTCCATGGAATGGTGATAAATGGAATAGACAGTACAACATTAAAAACACCTTTTGTTATAACCATCTTCATGTGAATATCAATTCACTAAGTTTATATGGTTTAAACTGCAATGTTGTAAAAATCATAAAAGTATGATATAAATAAATCCAAAAAAGCTAGAGGTATTCCAAATTTGATGGTTTCAGGTCAACCACAAGTAATCAACTCTATGCCAATTTGTCAACTAATTGCACTTGATTTTCTGTCTATTACTGTACTTAATCAACTTACCCCCTTGTGGTTGGCCTCAAGGGCTTTGACAATTTTCCATATATGAGACAACTACTTCAATAGATATGATTAATAATTTTTAGAATTATCCTTGTACCTCAACTGGGTACGAAGTATGAAAGCAACAACAGCTATACACATCTGCACAACAATCAAGGTGAAAAAGGCAAAATATTGGCATACTAAGTATACAAATACAAAAAAACAAGATCACATTAGATATTTGATATATCGAAAAATATACTGAATCAAATCTAGCAGATGAATTATAAAAATTTGTATAGCAAGTCATTACAACGCTTCTGTCTTCATGTCACAACCTTCAACGTTTGATGTTGACTAAACAAACACACGAGTAAACAGATGTTTCCTATCGTAAATATTATCATAAATTACAGTGTTCCTTAACCCAGTAAGTTGATATAATTCAAAGGCTTTCATCTGTAGGCAAAGAGCCCAGGAACAGTCTATATATCTAGTTTGCAGCTCACCAAGAGAACGTGACATACAAAACCCATCAACAAATTGAACAGCTATAAATATTATCATGTGTTTAACATTCCATAATTAAAACCAACAAAAATACAGACAATAATATTGACATACTAAGTACAGAATATGACTTTGTTTTATTACTTATAATTAAGTTAAAAATCTGCTTTTAAATAGAAAATGAAATATCAGACTTAATGAGAATAAAACTATGTAATTGATCTTTTTTAAAAAAAGACAGTGGAAACTTCAGTTGTTATAACAAAAAAGTGAAGGACAGGTCTTTAATAATTCAGTTAGGTGACAAGACAAGGACAAAATAAGGCAGATTAATCTGAGCTGGTTTCAACAACATTAAACATATGTAAGAAGTACTGAAGTATATGAATTAACAATTGTGATGGGGTCACAACAATATGACTTAATGCCACAAAATAAAATCTGTCAAAAATCCCTGCTTGAAATCCTGTAATTCTTCAGTAAATATGAAGCATTTCATTTAATAAACAGAATTATGTACATCCCTATTTAATAAACAGAATTGTGTACATCCCTATTTAATAAACAGAATTGTGTACATCCCTATTTAATAAACAGAATTGTGTACATCCCTATTTAATAAACAGAATTGTGTACATCCCTATTTAATAAACAGAATTGTGTACATCCCTATTTAATAAACAGAATTGTGTACATCCCTATTTTCCGTATAATATTATTGGTAACAATATCTAGATTACAACCCATATGACGATTATTAACACTTTGATTTCTTGTCCAGTTTCCTTAGTAATAGATAAAAGTTCATTGCTGTTCCTACTCCTAGTAGACCCCTCTTACTGTCTACCTATAGCCAATTTAAAGAGAATTCAGCAACCTTCAGAAATCCCATGTTGATATAACTTCATATGTAAAACCCATTTTTATTACTACAAATACATTTTTCTTTAAAACACTGAAATTAAGGTACCTGATGACCTATCAAAATTCTAATCATTAAAGCATAATTTTAGTTCTTATAAATCACAACACTTACATGATCAAAAACATTTATCAGATAGAAACCTAAATCTCATCCGTAATATTGTTTTTTCAGTACCCAGACATGATAAAGATCAAGACTATTACTTAATCCATGCCAACTTCACCCTTCTCTCATTTCTTTCCAACCGTCTTTCTCCCTTTTCGCAGAACAGTGGGTGAAATACCCAATGGAAAAAAGTTCTGTTGCAATAAACAATAACATATCTGCTTTCAATGTTTATGTTTTCACAAGAAAATTTCGTTGTCCATCAAAAATCTAAACCAACAATATTGAACACCTTTCATACGGTCTAATATAGAAATAAAAGTTTCTCTTATTGCATACAGACATTGTTTTATGACAAACCATAATTCTACGTTGAAATACAGTCTACTTTCTCTGTTATAAACCCCGTCCACGTATGTTCTGAATCAAAATCTTCTGTGGACTGTTATTTAATTGCAGTTAAGTTCTTTAAGTGTAAGACTGGAAATATAATGATAAAAATAATGTATGTAAATATATGAAAATATTCTGTTTTAAATATTGAAAGCTGGACTCTTGATTGTTTGAAGTAGCAATCATTAAAAAAATTTTTTTTTAATAAACTATATACATCTAATGACAGCAACCTTTCTCAATATATTTCCAAACACCTTCACTTCTAACTAAGTGGACATCTATAAGCAAGGTATATTTATAATCAGTTGCTACCAACATATGTTTTTACAATAAGTGAATGATATTGGCAGTGTTAAGTACAACACACGAGTCACTGTCAATTTTATTGTAATATGAGAACATGTAGAACAAAAACATATTCAATTCCAGTTTGTTAGGAAATTTTCAATGTGACAAAGGACACATCATCATCAAAATTGTGAGATTGGAATATGGTCAAACCCAGGGGGGCAGGGAATACACAAAACCTGTTTAACAGTAGTGAGGTAGGCCTAGTAGTATAGAGTAATAATATAGCAATTGTTGGTATTGAACTGCAATAGATACGGGTAAGTTTATACATACAATTACTGTGGATGTTACTGAATGACTGATTCCTTGAGGTTGGATGGAGGTCAGTGATTATCACAAGTCTTTTAGAAGTCCATACATGCATATAGCAGTTAATATGGTGACCTGTGGTGAGTGAAAAAAGTAGATTATCATCTATCACATTCAGAGGGGGTTTGTCAGAATGAAGTGGCTGATAGACAATAGTGGGGTAAAAAATTATTTTTCCTGTTGGTTGTTAATATCTGGAAAATCTTCATACCTGGGTGGTGAATGTAAAAAATATTGGTAGTTGGCAGTTGGTACAACATACAGTTTTATTGCTGGAATGTTGAAATTGGTTTAGATGGTCTTAAATGTATTCAGTGATTATATAAAGACACAGACTCTACACTAGAAAAAAATATTCTGACCATTTTTTGGTCAGTAAGAATTCTTCCTCTGCCAGTTTGTCTTGACACTGAGCCCCTAACTGGAATTGGTTGTTGGGTTTTTACTGGTAGGCAATGGGATAGTCCTGTTGTTGGTTGAAGGTTTGGAACTGTGTTTGCTGGTGCTGTTCTTGGTGTGCAAGATTAGGCACACCTTTCCTATATACCAGCATATTCAGGACAGGCTTCCTCTGTATATATTCTACAGCTTTTCTGTGTGTCACCACAGTCATATCATGGCCGTTCACCTGTAACACAGTCATCAACAAATCAGTAGCCTGTAATACACAGTAACCCATAACAGAGTCCATCACTAATCAGCCATCTGTAAAATATTCAAAACAAAGCTGCCACCTATAACACATTACTCCACAAATCAGTCAACTGTGACACAGTACTACACAAATCAGTCACCTGTTACACAATACTCCACAAATCAGTCACCTGTTACACAATACACCACAAATCAGTCAATCAGTCACCTGTTACACAGTACTCCACAAATCAGTCAACTGTTACACAGTACTCCACAAATAAGTCACCTATAACACAGTACTCCACAAATCAGTCACCTGTTACACAATACACCACAAATCAGTCACCTATAACACCACAAACACACTGTACTCCACAAATCAGTCACTGTTACACAATACCACCACACCTGTTACTCCACAAATCAGTCAACTGTTACACAGTACTCCACAAATCAGTCACCTGTTACACAATACACCACAAATCAGTCAACTGTTACACAGTACTCCACAAATCAGTCACCTGTTACACAGTACTCTACAAATAAGTCAACTATAACACAGTACTCCACAAACCAGTCAACTATAACACAGTACACCACAAATCAGTCACCTGTTACACAGTACACAACAAATCAGTCACCTGTTACACAGTACTCCACAAATCAGTCACCTGTTACACAATACACCACAAATCAGTCAACTGTTACACAGTACTCCACAAATCAGTCACCTGTTACACAGTACTCCACAAATAAGTCACCTATAACACAGTACTCCACAAATCAGTCACCTGTTACACAGTACTCCACAAATAAGTCACCTATAACACAGTACTCCACAAATCAGTCACCTGTTACACAATACACCACAAATCAGTCACCTGTTACACAGTACTCTACAAATCCGTCACCTGTTACACAATACACCACAAATCAGTCACCTGTTACATAGTACCCCACAAATCAGTCATCTGTTACACAGTACTCCATAAATAAGTCACCTGTCACTCCACAAATCAGTCACTGTTACACAATACACCACAAATCAGTCACCTGTTACTCCACAAATCAGTCAACTGTTACACAATACACCACAAATCAGTCAACTGTTACACAGTACTCCACAAATCAGTCACCTGTTACACAGTACTCCACAAATCAGTCAACTGTGACACAGTACTCCACAAATCAGTCACCTGTTACCCAATACACCACAAATCAGTCACCTGTTACACAGTACTCCACAAATCAGTCAACTGTTACACAGTACTCCACAAATCAGTCACCTGTTACACAGTACTCCACAAATAAGTCACCTATAACACAGTACTCCACAAATCAGTCACCTGTTACACAGTACTCCACAAATCAGTCAACTGTTACACAGTACTCCACAAATAAGTCACCTATAACACATTACTCCACAAATCAGTCACCTGTTACACAATACACCACAAATCAGTCACCTGTAATACAGTACTCCACAAATCAGTCACCTGTTACACAATACACCACAAATCAGTCAACTGTTACACAATACACCACAAATCAGTCAACTGTTACACAATACACCACAAATCAGTCACCTGTAATACAGTACTCCACAAATAAGTCACCTGTTACACATTACTCCACAAATCAGTCACCTGTTACACAATACACCACAAATCAGTCACCTGTTACACAGTACTCCACAAATCAGTCAACTGTTACACAGTACTCCACAAATCAGTCAACTGTTACACAATACTCCACAAATCAGTCAACTGTTACACAATACACCACAAATCAGTCAACTGTTACACAGTACTCCACAAATAAGTCACCTATAACACAGTACTCCACAAATCAGTCACCTGTTACACAATACACCACAAATCAGTCACCTGTTACACAGTACTCCACAAATCAGTCACCTGTTACACAGTACTCCACAAATCAGTCACCTGTTACACAATACACCACAAATCAGTCACCTGTTACACAACACTCCACAAATCAGTCAACTGTTACACAGTACTCCACAAATCAGTCACCTGTTACACAATACTCCACAAATCAGTCAACTGTTACACAGTACTCCACAAATCAGTCAACTGTTACACAGTACTCCACAAATCAGTCAACTGTTACACAATACTCCACAAATCAGTCACCTATAACACAGTACTCCACAAATCAGTCACCTGTTACACAGTACTCCACAAATCAGTCAACTGTTACACAGTACTCCACAAATCAGTCACCTATAACACATTACTCCACAAATCAGTCACCTGTTACACAATACACCACAAATCAGTCACCTGTTACACAATACTCCACAAATCAGTCACCTGTTACACAATACACCACAAATCAGTCAACTGTTACACAATACACCACAAATCAGTCACCTATAACACAGTACTCCACAAATCAGTCACCTGTTACACAGTACTCCACAAATCAGTCACCTGTTACACAATACACCACAAATCAGTCACCTGTTACACAGTACTCCACAAATCAGTCAACTGTTACACAATACACCACAAATCAGTCAACTGTTACACAATACTCCACAAATCAGTCAACTGTTACACAATACACCACAAATCAGTCAACTGTTACACAGTACTCCACACACAGTGCACCACAAATTAGTCACCTGTGACACAGTGCACCACAAATCAGTCACCTGTTACACAACACTCCACAAATCAGTCACCTGTAACACAGTACTCCACAAATCAGTCACCTGTTACACAATACACCACAAATAAGTCACCTATAACACAGTACTCCACAAATCAGTCACCTGTTACACATTACTCCACAAATCAGTCAACTGTTACACAATACTCCACAAATCAGTCACCTATAACACAGTACTCCACAAATCAGTCACCTGTTACACAATACACCACAAATCAGTCACCTGTTACACAGTACTCCACAAATCAGTCACCTATAACACAGTACTCCACAAATCAGTCACCTGTTACACAGTACTCCACAAATCAGTCACCTGTTACACAGTACTCCACAAATCAGTCACCTGTTACACACTACTCCACAAATCAGTCACCTGTTACACAGTACTCCACAAATCAGTCACCTGTTACACAGTACTCCACAAATCAGTCACCTGTTACACAATACACCACAAATCAGTCACCTGTTACACAGTACACCACAAATCAGTCAACTGTTATACAGCACTCTACAAATAAGTCACCTATAACACAGTACTCCACAAATCAGTCACCTGTTACACAGTACTCCACAAATCAGTCACCTGTTACACAGTACTCCACAAATCAGTCACCTGTTACACAGTACTCCACAAATCAGTCACCTGTTACACAATACTCCACAAATAAGTCACCTATAACACATTACTCCACAAATCAGTCACCTGTTACACAGTACACCACAAATCAGTCACCTATAACACATTACTCCACAAATCAGTCACCTGTTACACAATACTACACAAATCAGTCACCTGTTACACAGTACTCCACAAATCAGTCAACTGTTACACAGTACTCCACAAATCAGTCAACTGTTACACAATACTCCACAAATCAGTCACCTATAACACATTACTCCACAAATAAGTCACCTATAACACATTACTCCACAAATCAGTCACCTGTTACACAATACTACACAAATCAGTCACCTGTTACACAATACTCCACAAATCAGTCAACTGTTACACAATACTCCACAAATCAGTCACCTATAACACAGTACTCCACAAATCAGTCACCTGTTACACTCACCTGTTACACATTACTCCACAAATCAGTCAACTGTTACACAATACTCCACAAATCAGTCACCTGTTACACAGTACTCCACAAATCAGTACACAATACTCCACTGTTACACACTCCACAAATCAGTACTCCACAAATCAGTCACCTGTTACACAATACACCAAAAATCAGTCACCTGTTACACAGTACTCCACAAACACCACAAATCAGTCACCTGTTACATAGTACCCCACAAATCAGTCATCTGTTACACAGTACTCCATAAATAAGTCACCTGTTACACAATACACCACAAATCAGTCAACTTTTACACAGTACTCTACAAATACGTCACCTATAACACAGTACTCCACAAATCAGTCACCTGTTACACAGTACTCCACAAATCAGTCACCTGTGACACAGTACTCCACAAATCAGTCACCTGTTACACAGTACACAACAAATCAGTCACCTGTTACACAGTACTCTACAAATTAGTCACCTGTGACACAGTGCACCACAAATTAGTCACCTGTTACACAGTACTCCACAAATCAGTCACCTGTTACACAGTACTCCACAAATCAGTCACCTGTTACACAATACACCACAAATCAGTCACCTGTTACACAATACTCCACAAATCAGTCACCTGTTACACAGTACTCCACAAATCAGTCACCTGTTACACAATACTACACAAATCAGTCACGTGTTACACAATACTCCACAAAAGTCAGTCATCTACACTGTCCTCATACACAGTACACCACAAATCAGTCAGTTACACAGTACTCCACAAATCAGTCACCTGTACACTACACACAAATCAGTCACCATAACACAGTACTCCACAAATAAGTCACCTGTTACACCACAAATCAGTCACCTGTTACACAATACACCACAAATCAGTCACCTGTTACACAACACTCCACAAATCAGTCACCTGTCCACAAATCAGTGTACTGAGATAATTGGGAGGACAGCTAGTCTATCTACACATTCTGTCCTCATTCGTACTGAGATAATTGGGAGGACAGCTAGTCTATCTACACATTCTGTCCTCATTCGTACTGAGATAATTGGGACTATAGCTAGTCTATCTACACATTCTGTCCTCATTCGTACTGAGATAATTGGGACTATAGCTAGTCTATCTACACATTCTGTCCTCATTCGTACTGAGATAATTGGGACTATAGCTAGTCTATCTACACATTCTGTCCTCATTCTTACTGAGATAATTGGGACTATAGCTAGTCTATCTACACATTCTGTCCTCATTTGTACTGAGATAATTGGGCTATAGCTAGTCTATCTTAACACTCTGTCCTCATTCGTACTGAGATAATTGGGAGGACAGCTAGTCTATCTACACATTCTGTCCTCATTCTTACTGAGATAATTGGGACTATAGCTAGTCTATCTACACATTCTGTCCTCATTCGTACTGAGATAATTGGGACTATAGCTAGTCTATCTACACATTCTGTCCTCATTCGTACTGAGATAATTGGGAGGACAGCTAGTCTATCTACACATTCTGTCCTCATTCGTACTGAGATAATTGAGACTATAGTTGGTCTATCTACACATTCTGTCCGCATTCGTACTGAGATAATTGGGACTAAAGCTGGTCTATCTACACATTCTGTCCTCATTCGTACTGAGATAATTGGGACTATAGCTAGTCTATCTACACATTCTGTCCTCATTCGTACTGAGATAATTGAGACTATAGCTGGTCTATCTACACATTCTGTCCGCATTCGTACTGAGATAATTGGGACAATAGCTAGTCTATCTACACATTCTGTCCTCATTCGTACTGAGATAATTGGGACTATAGCTAGTCTATCTACACATTCTGTCCTCATTCGTACTGAGATAATTGGGACTATAGCTGGTCTATCTGAGATAATTGGGACTATAGCTAGTCTATCTACACATTCTGTCCTCATTCGTACTGAGATAATTGGGACTATAGCTAGTCTATCTACACACTCTGTCCTCATTCGTACTGAGATAATTGGGACTATAGCTAGTCTATCTACACATTCTGTCCTCATTCGTACTGAGATAATTGGGACTATAGCTAGTCTATCTACACATTCTGTCCTCATTCGTACTGAGATAATTGGGACTATAGCTAGTCTATCTACACATTCTGTCCTCATTCGTACTGAGATAATTGGGACTATAGCTAGTCTATCTACACATTCTGTCCTCATTCGTACTGAGATAATTGGGACTATAGCTAGTCTATCTACACATTCTGTCCTCATTCGTACTGAGATAATTGGGACTATAGCTAGTCTATCTACACATTCTGTCCTCATTCGTACTGAGATAATTGGGACTATAGCTAGTCTATCTATACATTCTGTCCTCATTCGTACTGAGATAATTGGGACTATAGCTAGTCTATCTACACATTCTCTCTTCATTCTTACTGAGGTAATTGGGACTATAGCTAGTCTATCTACACATTCTGTCCTCATTCGTACTGAGAAAATTGGGACAATAGCTAGTCTATCTACACATTCTGTCCTCATTCGTACTGAGATAATTGGGACTATAGCTAGTCTATCTACACATTCTGTCCTCATTCGTACTGAGATAATTGGGACTATAGCTAGTCTATCTACACATTCTGTCCTCATTCGTACTGAGATAATTGGGACTATAGCTAGTCTATCTACACATTCTGTCCTCATTCGTACTGAGATAATTGGGAGGACAGCTAGTCTATCTACACATTCTGTCCTCATTCGTACTGAGATAATTGAGACTATAGTTGGTCTATCTACACATTCTGTCCGCATTCGTACTGAGATAATT